GAGTTTATTTATTTATTTTGAGAGAGAGGCAGAGAGAATCCCAAACAGTACTTCCCATCAGCGTGAACAACCCGATCAGCAGTCCATGGAACTTGAATCGCGGCCTGGCGAAAATCAAATTGACTCAACCGACTGAGCCACCCAGGCACCTCCTATATATTGAGGTAACATCACCCACAGTTTGCTTTCTACCTTCTACCTCATCTACCAACCACCTGATGCTGCCATTTCCTTCTTTTTATTTACTGCTCACATAACGTTTGTTTACTGAACCCTTTTTAACTGTCACTTTATTTTCAACCTTTCTTGTTCATTTTCTTTTATGTTTCTTATATATATATAGCATATACAATTTTCTCGGAAAAAATTATTGGGTTCGGTACTACCAATTCTACAATAGTCAAGGAGTTTTTTTTTGGTTTCCAGTGCATATAAAAGTTGTTTACACAAACTGCCAGCCTATTAAATTATTACGGCGATACCTACAAAAAATATACATACCTTAAATAAAAAAATGGTATTAAAAGTACAACCGGGAGGGCGCCTGGGTGGCGCAGTCGGTTGAGCGTCCGACTTCAGCCAGGTCACGATCTCGCGGTCCGTGAGTTCCGAGCCCGCGATCACGAGCTCTGGGCTGATAGCTCAGGCCTGGAGCACACTGTTTGGGAATTCTGTCTCCTCTCTCTGCCTCCCATGGGTGCTCTCTGTCTCTCTCTGTCCACAAGTAATAGCGTTGAAAAAAAAAAAAATTGCAAAAAAAAAAAAAGTGCTAACCTGCACCAACAATGCGTGACTCATGAGTGAGTTGTATTGTCTCCCAGTGGTAGATCTTCTTAAATGTTGATGGCTCTGATCCCAGGATGGTAGTGGTGGTGTGTGTACTATTTGGGTGGCTGTTAATTTCTTAGGATTGGATAACCTGCAGTTTGTTTTAAAAAAAAAAAAAAAAAAAAGTGCTAACCACCAACAATGCTGACTCACTTTTAGTGAGTTGTAATCTTTTTGGTGGTGGAGGGTCTTGCCTAAATGTTGATGGCTCCTGACTGATCAGGATGGTAGTGTACTGAAGGTTGGGTGGCTGTGGTAATTTCTTAAATTGGATAACACGAAGTTTACAGTACTGATAGAATCTTCCTTTCACGAACAATTCCTCTGTAGCATGTGATGCTGTTTGACAGCATTTTACCTACAGAACTTCTTTCACAATTGGTGTACATTTTCTCAAACCCTGTTGCTGCTTTATCAACTAAATGTATATAATACTCTAAATCCTCTGTTGCCATAACAATTCTCACAGCATCTTTATTAAGAGCAGATTCCATCTCAAGAAACCACTTTCTTTGCTCATCTGTAAGAAGCAACTCCTTATCTATTCAAGTTTTATCAAGAGGTTGCAGCAATTCAGTCCCATCTTCAGGCTCCACTTCTAGTTCTCTTGCTATTTCCCCCACATCTGCATTTACTTCTTCCACTAAAGTCTTGAACCCTCAAAGTCATCCATGATAGTTGGAATCCACTTCATCTAAACTCCTGTTAATTTTGATATTTTGACCTCTTCCCATGAATCATAAATGTTCTTAATGGGGCACCTAGAATGGTGAATCCTTTCCAGAAGATTTTCAATTTACTTTGCCCAGATACATCAGAGGAATCACACACCATCTATGGCAGCTATAGCCTTATGAAAAGTATTTCTTAAATAATCTGACTTGAAAGTTGAAATTACTCCTTGGTCTATGGGCTGCAGAACAGAGGTTATGCAGGCATAAAAATATTAATCTCGTTGGACATCTCCATCAGGGCTCTTAGGGTAACCAGGTGCATTGTCAATGACAGGTCTTATTTTGAAAGGAATCTTTCTGAGTAGTAGGTCTCAACAGTGGGCTTAACATAATCAGTAAATTATGTTGTGAACAGATGTGCTGTCGTCCAGGCTTTGTGGTTCCATTTACAGAGCCCAGGCAGAGTAGGTTTAACATAATTCTTAAGGGCCTTAGGATTTTCAGAATGGTAAATGAGCACTGGCTTCAACTTCAAGTCACCAGCCACATAAGCCCCTACCTAACAAGAGAGTCAGCCTGTCCTTTGAAGCCAAGTATTGACTTTTTCTTCTCTAGCTATTAAGGTCCTAGATGGCATCTTCTGCCAATAGAAGTCTGTTTCATCTACACTGAAAATCTGTTGCTTAGTGTCATCACCTTTATGAATTATCTGAGCCAGATCTTCCAAATAACTTGCTGCAGCTTCTACACCAGCACCTGCTGCTGCTTCACCTTGCACTTTTATGCTATGGAGACGGCTTCTTTCTTTAAACCTCATGAGCCAACCTCCGCTAGCTTCAAATTTTTCTTCTTTCAGTTTCCTCATCTCTCTCAGCATTCACAGAACTGAAGACAGTCAGGGTCTTGCACTAGATTAGGCTTTGGCATAAGGGACTGTTTTGTCTGGTTTGATCTTCTATACAGACTACTAAAACCTTTGCCATATCAGCAATAAGGCTGTTTTCACTTTGTCATTCATGTGTTCATTGGAGTAGCCTTCAAGAACTTTTCTTCTGTGTTCACAACTTGTCTGGCACAGGAGGCCTAGCTTGCAGCCAATCTCAGCTTTCAGTATGCCTTCCTCACTAAACTTGATAATTTCTAGCTTTTGATTTAAAGTGAGAGGCATAGGACTCTTCCTTTCACTTGAACACACTGTGGTGTTACTGGCCTAATTTCAGTATTGCTGTGTATCTAGGGAATAGAGAGGCCCAAAGGGAGAGAGACGGGAACAGGTGGTGGGGGGAGCAGTCAGAACATACATAACATTAAGTTTGCCATCTTCTATGGGTACAGTTCATGGCACCCCAGAACAATGGCTATACTAACATCAAGGATCACTGATCACTATAAAAAATATAATAATAATAAAGTTTGAAATAACTACAAGAATTACCAAAATGTGACACAAAGACACAACGTGAGCAAATGCTGTTGGAAACACAGCGCCAATAGACTTACTTGATGCAGGATTGCCACAAATCAATTTGTAAAAAGCGCAGTATCTGTGAAGCACAATAAAGTGAAGCACAATAAAAGAAGGTATGCCTGTATGTGGCTTGTACCACTGGATAGGCTGTACTGGTGTTTATCCAAGAAAAATTAAGGATAACTATTAGGGGACTGGTCAATTTAAAAAATATACCCATATAGTGGGATGCTACTTAACCAAGAAGAGTTATGTAGATGAGAAAAAGATAATCATATACTGTACTTGGAAGTCATCTTTCACATTTCCTTCTCCTTCATGCCCATAACCAATCTGTCACCCAAGTCCTGTTGATTTTACTTCCTAGATCATATTCATATTTATGTACATATCCCATCTATCCTGCTACCATTCTAATCCAAAGTACCACTAATGGTACTTTGCAGTGGCCTCCTGTTCTACCCACATCAGCTTTGCTCCCACATTCATCCATCTTCTTCAGTGCTGCTAGAGCAAAGACTACAAATTGGATGATGTCACCAAAAACCCTTCAATAGATTCCTATACATTTAGAGGAAAATTCAAAATCTAAACCTTAATGCCCTACATCACTAGATCAGGTCCACTTCATGCCACTCTCTTCTTTGCTCTCTGTCCTCCAGCTACACTAGCTGCTGCCCATGTTTCTACCATCATAATATAATGATTCTTACTGTTGTGCTTAGTGATTTACACAAATTATCTCATTTAATCCTCTCAGCAAGGTAAATACTTGTGATACTACCATTTGACAAATGAGGAAACTGAAGCTTAAAGGAATTAAGTCATCTGCCCAAGGTCTTACAACTTGTTAAGGGGCTACAGCAGGATCTGAACCCAGGTCTGAGTCCTGAGTTCATTCTATCTATTCCCCTGGATTTGTACCCTTCAGCCATGTTTATCTTGGCATTACTGATAATGCTTTGCACATATTACCTAAATAGTCATGTTCAGTCAGGTGTTTTACTTTGCAAAAAATTATTTCCATCCACAACTACTCAAGACAAGACTTACTCTTAATTTTCTATAACCTATCCAGTATAAAAAGACAAAATGCTACAGTATCTCTAAACCTGTAACTGTGGAATCTAAACTCGGTAATTATGTCAAAATATCAAAAACAGAATATAAATGGGCTTTTAAAATAATGTTTCTGGCCCTAGTAAATGACTCCAGAGAGAAATTAAGGTTGCAAGGAGCTTTAAGGGTTATGCTGATTTTATCATTTTGTTTTATGAAGCCCAAATGAAGCATTCTGAAGCCCAAATAAAGTGTCTCGTCCAAGTTGCACAGCAAGCTAATGACAATGCTGGAACCATTAACTTCCAGCCCAGTGCTTTCACTTAGAGCATAATCCAATAAACTGGACAGACTTGGAGTTTTATTAGTGTCTTGTGTTTCAAACAACAGGATGTAAAAAACAATAAGAAATAATTATATTAAAAGAGTGGTTTTTTTTTAAGCGTCTATTTCTAATCAGTATCATATGGACATTAAAGTTGTTATCCTTCCACTCAAAGTGGCTTATTTGCATTTCACATTTAGAATAAAAAAGAAATAAAGAGAATACCTTTTTAGTCCATCTTTTTACTCCATTATATCCTTTGGTTACCAGCTGTCTATGAAAAAAGCTGTTGAAGAAGTGAACCTAGAAGAGACATCAAATATAAGCACCCAGATTATATTAAGCTGTATACCCAGATTTAACTTCAAAAGAACATGGAAATTTAAAAACCCTTGTATGTAAGACAGACCAAAAGGAGGAAAAGTTTCTTCTATAGAAAATACATTACCTGATTCACAGAAGATTCTGTTCCAAATTTTCTTAGAATAACCTTACACTGTGGTCTATAGTCAGAACTGGAATGGGACAGTAAATAAATAGATTACCTGAATCCAATCAAGTAGAGAAGCAACCTGACAAATCTCTCCAAATCAGGTGATAAAACTGAAAGAGGCTAAGAAAGAATGAGGTAACATTACCTTGAACTCAAGGGATATGGATTACAAAACTAACCCCATCTGAAGGATATGGACTTGCAGACTCCTGCTTTCATAACTGTTAAAAAGCCTTAACATGATCATTTCTAGCACAGAAATAATTAACCTGGTCATATGGAACATCGTGTCCTGACATCAAATTTCTGGCTTATAAACTAGGATCGGCTCATGTGAACTAGTAAACATACTGTGGTCTTAACGTGTTCACTCAGTAATGGATTCACTTGAGATGAAAAAAATGTTCCCTCAGTATTGAGGTTCTCAGGATGTGGTCACCAGATCAGCAGTATCAGCATCCCCAGGAACTTCTTAAAATGCAAATTTTCAGGCCCTACCCCACACCATTTACTAATGCAGAAACTGAGCGTGGAGCTCAACAGTTTGGTTTGATAAACCTTCCAAAAAATCCTAATGCACACTGTTCTGAGATCTCTGCAGCTTAAGATATCAATAAAAAGAACTTGTAATAGCTATTTCTAAGAAAAGTGATTCTCAAACTCTGTGTGCATTAGAATCCGGACAGCTTGTGAAAGCAGATTGCTGGGCCCCACCTCCAGTTTCTGATTCAGTAGGGGTAGGTTAGAGTTCAAACTTTTACATCTCTGGTAAATTCCTAGGTAATGTCGGTGCTACTGGTCTGGGGACTGTAAGTGTCCTTTTAATCCAATGAAGGTTCAGAATTAAATATAATGTAGAAATAATGAAGGTAAATTATACCCTTAAAACTAACACCTTTATGTTAAAAGTCATCTATAATATGTGTTTAGGTTTAAACTTTCTGGTGATTAAGAGAATTTCACATAATAGAGAATCCAACAGATTAACCTCATGATTCCAATTTAAAATGCAACAGAATTGCGATTTTAAGTGGAAAGTTGTAAAACATTTTGTCTATATTCATAAAGTGTTGGAATCTCCGACTCATTATATTTATTTACCTGTTTAAATTATTAGATTTATAAAAGTATTTGGAAAGATTTTAGATATTGAAATCAAAAGTTACCCATCAGGCAATCTAAATACTCAGAAAAATTAACACATTAAATTAAAAAAATAATTTTAATAGTAACAAAACTCTATGGGAATTTTAGAGTTTAAGGAGGGTTTGTCTGTATTTGAACAGAATACCCAAGATTAATCCAAGAAAAAGTGACAATGAATACCACTTTATTACATCTTTAAAAAGAATAAGACTTTAAGTTAAATTGAAAAACTTAAAGCAAAAATACACTCTTTGTGCATCTCGTCACTGTTAAAAAAGAGACAAGAGACTCAAAATAGAGTCTAACTTAGTGCTGACTTGTGCTTAGCCCATGTCACCAAACCAAAAATACCTAACCTAATTGCAACTTCAGCCTCTCCCAGGACTGTAATCTTAACAGAATTACCTGCTCAGCACTACTTAGGTAACCTGCCTGTTAGACCTGGTCTTCCCCTTAAGTAAGGTAACTTTGCTGCAATCAATCTACTCTTGCTAATAACCCCCTTGTCCTGCCCCCTTCTGCCTTGTAAGTCTTCCATTTTGTACAGCTCTTCAAAGCTCCTTTTTACTTATTAGATGGGATGCTGCCTGATTCATGAATCATTTGAATAAAGCCAATAAGATCTTAAAATATACTCAGTTGTTTTTTATTTTTGAGAACAAGCACAAATGGGGGGAGGGGCAGAGAGAAAGGGGCCAGAGGATCTGAAGTGGGCTTTGCAAAGACAGCAGTGAGCCCGATGCAGGACTAAAACTCACCAACCGGGAGATTATGATCTGAGCCAGAGTTGGATGCTCAACTGACTGAACCACCCAGGCGCCCCAACTTTTTTCACACCTTAAAAAAGCCTCCTTGGGGTGCCTGTCTGGTTCAGTTGGTGGAGTGTGTGACTCTTGATCTTGGATTGTGAATTCAAGCCACTCATACAGAGATTACTTAAATCTTAAATTAAATCTTAAAAAAAAAAAAAGTGGGGCACGCCTGGATGGCTCAGTCGAGTGTCTGACTTCCGCTCAGGTCATGATCTTGCAGTTCGTGGGTTCAAGCCCAACGACAGGCTCTGTGCTAACAGCTCAGAGCCTGAAGCCCACTTCAGATTCTGTGTTTCCTCTTTCTGTCCCTCTCCCACTCATGCTCGCTCGCTCTCAAAAGTAAATAAACATGTAGGAAAACACTGGCAATCTGACTTTCTTATGCTCAAATATTGTCTAGAACCTATGCCCAACCTGTTAGCGCCTGATCAAGATAAAATCAAAACCTTTAAAAATCGAAGGAATATTAAAAAAAAAAAAAAAAATCGAAGGAATATCAAATAATTACATCAAGTTAAAAAGAAACCTCATTTTAATACACAAGAATTCTCTCTCCTGAAGAGTAACTTTCACTTACTTTGTCTGGGACTGCATCCATTATCAGCTCACCATACATATTAATGACCTATAAAAAGTCAACATAAAACCAGCTTACTAACCCTATACAATTCAGAACATCCCATCAGAATGAATAACACTGACACCTTTAACAGTAATCAAACCTTTTGGATGCTGGGGTTGGTGAATGAGTAGCTTTAGTAAGGGTGAAGAACCCTTGATTCAAAACATAACTATGAGACCAACCCAAAGGTTAATTCTATTTTATTATCCAACATCCTCTGCAACTTTTCCACACTGAGAACCTACAATACACTAACCTGGTCATTCAGCCAATTCTGACCATCCAGAGTTGCCAGATCATCCATATCCAGCATGTGCTTATTGTAGAAGATGCGGAAGTTGCATTTTTGATGCCTGGCCCGATAGTTTGTTATTTCTCTATTGATAAATGGTTTTCTGAAAAAGATTTTGAAAGAAACACGAGTTCCACTAAATTTACTAAGTATCTTCTTTTTTAAAAGTCACATGTGCCAACAATTTTATTTTCAAGGGCTTAAATTAAGCATTATGGACAAACCTATTAGAAAAGTCTTCATTAAAGACATCTTTTAGTCTTCCAAGGACATCTTTTTCACTGAGTGGGACCAAACTGCCATACTTCTTCATAACCTCATCTAGGAATCCTTAAATAAAGGAAGAAAAATTACAATGGAAAAACCATTTTCAGCAAAAGTCATTCTCCCAATATTTAACCTATACACAACACTTACCACACATTTAACCTATACATTACGCTATACAGAAATCTTTTAATTAAAAGTTATGTTTTGTAAGAAATAAAATAGATCAGGCCCTCACCATTCCAATCCAGAGAGAAATGCCTTAAGGTATCATTTCACATTGGATTTTTAAAGCTACTGATGCACTGTTAGAAAATGGCTAGCTAAAACTGAAGATTGACATCACTCAGTAGTTTAACCTTGAAGAAGAATCTTCCCTTCTAAAGAGTGAAATCTAAAATGGTTTAATCACCTGGTTAAATGTGTATCACATCTGGTAACTAAAGGAGATTTCTTTTTTAAAATATTTTTTTTATTTTTGAGAGAGAGAGCATGTGTGCATGAGTGGGGAAGGGGTGGCAGGGCTACAGAGGATCCAAAGTGGGCTCAGAGCTAACAGCAGCAAGCCCAATGCGGGGCTCGAAATCACAAACCCTGAGATCATGACTTAAGCTGAAGCTGAATGCTCAACCAACTGAGACACCCAGGTGCCCCTAAAGGAGTTATCTTTTCAAAAACCACAATTTGTTGAGGGATTTGTTGAGATCGCAGTCACTATTATTTGGTAAGTGTGTGTCAGCATATTTTAAAAGGGGAAGCAGAATTAAAGGATGACTTCTTGGCCAGAATAGGACAGTCTTTGGGTCAAATAAGATGTATACGCATTTTAATGGCTTCCATGAGGACCCACTGAACAAACATACTTAAAAAGGTCCTAGGAAATAAAATCAGGGCTTTATTTCTAAGGAAATACACAGAAGCTGAGGGAAAGAAAGGCTCACAAAAATGCTGACATGACTTAGGACATTCACTGATGCTGAATGGGGAGAGCAATAACCTAATTAACCATCAGTCTAAAAGTTTCCAGAATTAAGATGGGAAGAATGAGCACTGTTAGCCACTTATTTTACCCAGTCACCTTTCTACCTTCAAGAATGGCCTCTGCGGGGCGCCTGGGTGGCGCAGTCGGTTAAGCGTCCGACTTCAGCCAGGTCACGATCTCGCGGTCCGTGAGTTCGAGCCCCGCGTCGGGCTCTGGGCTGATGGCTCAGAGCCTGGAGCCCGCTTCGGATTCTGTGTCTCCCTCTCTCTCTGCCCCTCGCCCATTCATGCTCTGTCTCTCTCTGTCCCAAAAGTAAATAAACGTTGAAAAAAAAAATTAAAAAAAAAAAAAAAAAAAAAAAAAAAAAAAAAAAAAAAAAAAAAAAGAATGGCCTCTGGTACACATCAGTACAAAATGGACAGGAAAGAGAACAATGGAGTAACTGTCCCAAGAACAGGGTGGATTTTTTTGAGGGAGGGTCAGACAAAGGTGTGAAAAACAGATCTTCCTTTTGTTAGTCTCCTACCAGAAGGCTCCCAATTTGAAAGGCTTCAGAGCAAAGGTCAGGATACAGTAAACAGGAAAACGCTGATTGTTTACACCTGGTTCTGGTCTAGGCTTTAGGCATAAAGAAGACAGAAAGGGAATCCTTTGTTCCAGCTTAATAAGAGAAGGAGGTAAAGATTTGGGGCTTCTAAACTTATATTTGCCAACAAGTGTTTACAGGTTACCTAAGAACAGCCTTATGTCTGTCTACATGGGAAAATGAACTCAAATAGAAGATAAGGAATCCCAACATTTGAGAAACTGCATTTGAAGAGCAAATTTCATACAAAAATAATGCCCCTAATAATAAAAGAGTAAACTGCAGGCTCAGCAACCTTGAGACTCTTCAAATAAGAAAGCAGTCTCCTCTATCAATGGGATACTGACCCCAATTCCAAACTAGTGTCATAGGAAAGAGGTATCCCTCTTAACAGTGTTATCTATGGATGGTAGTATTGGGGGGATTTTAAGTTATTTTTGTTTCTTCTTATCTGCATTTTTGTTTTCACTTTCAGATGATAAACATGGATTTCTAATGCAGCAGAAAGGTCCTGTGCGGATGTTCAAGGAGAACCCTAGAGGACAATGTCTTATTGATACACACATCTCACTGGGACCAGAAGTAAAACTGCATTCAAATAGCATTATCATAAACCAAGCACTACTACATCTCATCCTTTTAACTACACTGTGTTAGACAGCATCCGTACTTTACCAATGGAGGTAGGAAGCTTAGGGAGGTTAAGTAACTTTCCCAAGAACCCTTAAGTAGCATATGGCAGAGTAAGATTCTGATTATAGGTTATATGACCACAGAAAGTTAACCATTAACTATTAACCTATGCTGCCTCCAAAGCAGGAGATGCCTATTATCTTTTCTCTACAAAAGCAACTTGTTCTTCACTGCATCTTTTCCTTTTAATACCCCCTGGCCAAGAATTACCCAGAAAATGGCTTCTTAAGATGAGAATTAAACCCATTATTTTTTACCCACTTGCATTCACAAACTAATGAACCAAAAAGGAAAAATGCATTTGGCATAGTACTAAAACTTCAATGTGACCAAGAAAGAAATGATAAAATGTTAGGGGAAAAAGAAAACAAAAACTAGAATTCAAATTATAGTCCATCTGCCAGCACAAAAGGTAGTAACAAAAGGTAGTAACTCTTCCTCCCTGGCTGCTAGAAGCTCAGCCATCATGAACAACACAACAACAGTAACTGTTGGGACCAGCGAGTTCATGACCAGTCCACTATTTCAGCAGAAACAAGTGGTCACTGATGTTCTTCATCTGGAAAAGGCAAAAGTACCTACATCAGAAATTCGGGGAAAAATAGCCAAAATGTACAAGACCACATCAGATGTCATCTTTGTATTTGGATACAGAACCCATTTTGGTGGTGGCAAGGCGACTGGCTTTGGCATGATTTATGAGTCCTTGGATTATGCAAAGAAAAACGAACCCACAGTCTTGTAAGACGGCCTGTATGAAAAGAAAAAGACCTCAAGAAAACAACAAAAGAACACAAGAACAGAATGCAGAAAGTCAGGGGGACTGCAAAAGCCAATGTTGGTGCCAGCAAAAAGGAGTAAAGATTCTACAGTGACTTTATCTGTGGTGATTGTGCAGATAAATACTGCAGAAATCCTTCATGAGAGGATTAATAAACTAAGAATTAAAAAAAAAAAAACCCACAAAAGGAAATAATAGGAAAAACAAAACCTGAAGTGTTATTTCAGAAGTTAAATTGCTCATCTTAAACCAAATGTGCTGGATAGTTTTTTCTAAAGGCAATTGACAGGTCACATCCCACCATGAATGTGGAATGAGGTTGTGTTGTGCATACAAGAAATGGAACCATTTGCTTCTTCAACAAAATACAATACACATGTCAGAAAGGTCCCATCAAAAATAAGGAAGGCATGGGGCATCTGGCTGGCTCAGTGGGGCATGCCACTCTTGATCTTAGGGTTGTAGGTTCGAGCCCAACATTGGATGCAGAGATTACTTAAAACAAAATCTTAATGACAAAATAAGGCATGAAATAGCTAAGACTAAACTTAAGAAATGTGCAAGCCTAAGTGAAAAGCACAAAATTCTGGTGAAAGGACACAGGTCAATAAATGGAGTAATTCTTTGTTTTTAGACAGGAAAACTCAGTATCATAATAAATGTAATTTCCCCTTAGTCTATAAATGTGATGCAGTACCAATCAAAGCCATTATTTTTGTTTGTTTAATTGAAAAAACAAATCTAAAATTCATCTTGGGACCAAAACATGAGAAATTCCTAGGAATTTTTGGAAAGAATTAAAGAGGAGAGGTGAATAAGGGAGGGCAAGAGAGGAGAAGGGCCTAGTCCCATCAAATTATAAAACTGGGGCATGTGGGTGGCTCCACTGGTTAAGCGTCCCACCCTGGATTTTGGCTCAGGGCACGATCTCATGGTTTGTGAGTGTGAGCCCTGCGCCGGGCTCTGTACTGATAGCACAGAGCCTACTTGGGATTCTCTGCCCCTCCTCTGCTCACACACACTGTCAAAATAAACTTTTTTAAAAAAATTATAAAACTACTAGAATTAAGACAGACTACTACTAGTATAGAAATTGAAAAACCAAATCCAGAAAGAGACCTAATAACAGGTAGCAACTCATAACCACAGGGAAAAGATCACTCAAATAATATTAGAACTATTAACTAAATCTTTTATTTACAGTTGGAATTCACTTTGATGTAAATCGAAGCCTAAATCAAGAGTCAGACGCTCAGTGCTCAATCGACTGAGCTACCCAGGGGCCCAGGATTTTTTTTCTTAATATTTATTTATTTTTGAGAGAGAGGGACAGAGCGCAAGTGGGGGAGGGGCAGAGAGAGAGAGGGAGACACAGAATCCAAAACAGGCTCCAGGCTCTGAGCTGTCAACACAGAGCCCCACATGGGGCTCAAAATCACAAGCCGTGAGATCATGACCTGAGCCGAAGTCGGACACTGAACCAACTGAGCCACCCAGGTGCCCCAGTATTTTTTTTCTAATACATGACCATAAACATTTTAAAATAAAATGGCAATCATCCTCTAATTCCTTTAGAACTTTTATGCCCTTTAATATGAACATTATTTATTCAACATGTAAGTAGCACTCTAGTTTCTCTTTTTGAAGTTATTTTATCCCATTCAATACACTATGGAATTTTTTTTTCCCTAGGCCAATTCAGAACAATCTAGTAACCCAGTAAATGGGTATGCCATAAACAATTCCCTACTGGGGACCATTTGTTAATTTTTTAGCTCTCCAATTAATGTCACAACTAAAACCCTTGATATATCCTGGTTCTGTTGTTTCCTCACAACACACTCACTAAAAGTTAAATCTCTGGGTCAAAGGACATGCATATCTAAAAGTTCTAAATTTTCATTAATGACTTCTTATATACACACGCAGCTTTAGTGTTTATGGGGTCAAACTGGTATATTGCGTCTGAGTTTCCTATCAGGCTTTAAAATGTATTATTGGGACGCCTGGGTAGCTCAGTTGATTGAATGTCTGACTCTTGATTTTGGCTCAGGTCATGACCTCATGGTGAGACTGGGATCTACGCTGGGCATTAAGCCTGCTTGGGATTCTCTCTCTCCCTCTGTCCCATCTCTGCACATACACTCTCTCAAAAAATAACAGAAAATTATTAAATGTATTATTAATGTGAAATTATAAAACGGTGTTATAAAATGTGTTCTCTTTAATAGCTTTACTGACCCGTGATTCACACCACAAAAAATTACTCTTCAAAAGTGTAAATTTTTTTTTTTTTTTTTTTTTTTTTTTTTTTTTTTTTTTTTTGGGAAATTCAGAGTTGTCCAACCATTACTATCACCTAATTTAGTAACATTCATATTACTCCACAAGAAACTTTGTACCAGTTAGGAGTCACTCCTCATTGCTTCCTCTCTACAGCCCCTGGCAACTATTAACCTACTTTCTATCTCTGTATTTGCCTACCATGGACATTTCAAATCAATAGAATCACATAGTATGTGGCCTTTTGTGCCTGGCTCTTTTTACTTAGCATGTTTTCGAGGTTCATCCACACTGAAACATACAGCAGTACTTCATTCCTTTTTATGCCAGAATATCCCATTGTATAAAATACCAAATTTTACTTACTTGTTCATCAGTTGATGGACATTTGGATTGTTTCTACTTTTTGGCTATGATGAATAATGATGCTAATGAACATCTGTGTACAGGTTTGTGTGTGTTTGTTTCTAACTGGTTAAATTTTTTTTTTTTAATTTTTTTTTTTTTTCAACATTTATTTTTGGGATAGAGAGAGACAGAGCATGAACAGGGGAGGGGCAGAGAGAGAGGGAGACACAGAATCGGAAACAGGCTCCAGGCTCTGAGCCATCAGCCCAGAGCCCGACGCGGGGCTCGAACTCACGGACCGCGAGATCGTGACCTGGCTGAAGTCGGACGCTTAACCGACTGCGCCACCCAGGCGCCCCCTAACTGGTTAAATTTTTAACCTACCTAGAATATACTGACATAGGAATCTATTTTTTTTCCTTCCAAAACCAGTTTTATGCAATATTTACAACTATAAAACAGTAAGTAAACTGTAGTAAGTACAACTGGCTCTTGATAAGTGTATCAATCTACTGCAGTGAACATGTGTAGTTCTATTAGAGAAAAGCCAGCATTCACTATGCCGTGGAACCTGGTATTAACTAATGCTATAGAAGTCAGTTAAAGGAGCATTCACTATACTGATTGTCCCGTATGGATTCCTATTCTAATTGCTCTATTAATCCTGATTATTCAGGTTTAGTTCCTTTATTTGTTGAATTTGTCCTTTTCATTGTGCTGGCTTTCCTCATATTTGGTGACAGATTGTGGGCTTATCTCTACTCGGGTAATTTTTTTTTTTGCTGGTGCAGGGAGGGCTGTGATGGGCAGTAGCTGTTGCTCTGCCTTCAACCCTTTTCAATCAGCATGGAGATGCTAAGTAAAACCCCAAAAATGGTTCTTCTGGTTCTTCTTTCCTCAGTCTATGAAAATAATGAATTACTTTCCAGATCACCAAGTGTGCATTCTGTAAAAATGCCTACTTCCTCATGTCACACTACAGTCTTACTGTATGCCATTAGTCAATTGATCAATTGCTTTTGGAAGTGCTACATCTCTTTAAGTTAATTGGTATCTATGCGTAAATGCTTACTTTTTCAGGTTTATGTATTATATGGTTTTGCTAACTTTATAGTAGAGAATTTGCCTTTCCCTATTCTAAGACAGTATAAACAACAGAAACTGTTTTGTTTTTAAAGATTTGCTAGGACTCTGTACTACTCTGTGTCTTTTTGTGGAGAAAAACTTTCTATACATACTTAATGGTTAAGAAAACAAAGTGCTCAGAATTGTTTAAACCACCAAGAAGTAATTCTCCTAATTCCCCAGAAAAGCCCTTTATAACAATTTGATATCTATTTCCAGATGTGGCCGATACAAATGTGTGTGCACACTTCTATACATATGCTCCATTTGTGTGTATATCTCTTAACAAAGTGGCATCATTCTGTTTTGCATCTTGCTTTTTTCACTTTATGTAGACAGCTTTCAGTTCAAAATATAGACTGAACTTTTTAACAGCTTCATAATGTACTATTGCCCAGATGTGCTGTAATTTATACTTCCATAGAAACTTTTTTTTGGTTGTCTCCAGTTTTGTTTTGTTTTTATAAAAAAAAATTTTTTTTCATGTTTATTCATTTTTGAAAGACAGAGACAGAGAGCAAGTAGGGGTGGGCGGAGAGAGAGGGGGACACAGAATCCAAAGCATACTCCAGGCTCTGAGTTGTCAGCACAGAGCCCAACGCGGGGCTCGAACTCCCGAACCACAAGATCATGACCTGAGCCGAAGTCAGACGCTCAACTGACTGAGCCACCCAGGTGCTCCAGTTGTCTCCAGTTTTTTTACTACCAGGACAATACTATAAGTAATGTCCCTATACAAATAAATATATTCCTATTTTGGATAAACTGCAAGAAGGGGAATGGGTCAAAGACTAATATTGCCATATTGTCTTCCAAAAATGTTTACACCAGCTTACTCATGGGGTAGATTTTGACAAGAAGACTTTTTAAAGTATGACGTAAAAACTTGAAGCCATTAAAGATAGATAAGTTTCACAATGAAGAATTGATAATTTCCTTTAAGCGAAATTACCACACTCAAAGTCAGGGTACTTTTACCTTTGGGGAAGGAAAAACTTAAACTCTTAGGACATTTGTAATTAAAATTTAACAAGGTAGGAATCACTGTTTCTTGCTCACTGCCACAGTCTCAGAACTAGCACAGTGCCTGGCATATAGGAACTTCTAGGCAAAGGAAAATTATATACAAACCAAAGATGGCCAAGAAACACAGAAAAAGATGTTCAAGCTTTAAACTCAAAAACACAAATCAAAACAACTCTCAGGTGATCTAGAAGAGAAGATTAGTAAATTTTAACAAGTGTAAACTGGTTCAACTTTTTGGAGGGTAATTTCACAATTCTCTTAAAATTTTAAGTGTATTTGTTCATCATCAATTCCACTACTACAAATTTAACTTAGAGAAAAAACTGTTAAAGTATATAGAAGTAGTTTCATTGCACTATCATTTATAGAAGAAAACGACTGGAAGCAACACAAATATCATCAACCAAAACTTAAAGTATTGAACATCTCCATAATACAGCAATATAGAAGACTCCAAAGAAGAATGTCTAAATGCTTAAAGGGAAATCCATGCGTGGAAGAAAAAACAGGAATCTCCCAGAAAAAGATAATGGAGGGCACTTGGGTGGCTCAGTCGGTTAGGCATCCAACTCTTGGTTTTGGCTCAGGTCACGATCTCATGGTTTGTGAGTTTGAGCTCCACATCGGGCTCCGTGGGAACAGTACGGAGCCTGATTGGGATTCTCTCTCTCCCCCTCTCTCTGCCCCTCCCCCAACTCATTCTGTCTCTCAAAAATAAACAAACTTAAAAAAAAAACAAAGAAAGAAAAGATCATGGACAGCAAGTGTGGGCCGCAGGTTGAGGGAGAATAAAGGAAGAGTGCATACCAGAAAGGCAGATTGACAGCTGTTCGTCATCCACGGGAGATGCTTTCTGACTGTTCCTCCCACCTCCTGCTTGATTTTCGAGTTTGAGTCCACTGCATGTCAGAGGAGCCTCCAGTGGACTTTTACAGTAAGGGTGGTCCAGCAACTTAGAACTAAGAATGTTCTGCTTGAGAGATCCATCCTCATCCATCTGGCATGAGCTCTCAGTCTTTTCGGACACAGGCCCATCTACATCACTCACAGACTGATCTGCCCCAGACATGGGCAGTTTTACTCTGTCATCACTGACAGTACTTGTCCGATTTTCCTGACCCAGAGTCATAACTTCTCTTTCGTTTTCTGAGATAAACATGTTACTAGAATCATGTTCTGATAAGGGGATATCATGAATCAGCTCTGTACACTCCCACTTAGGAGAACAGGGTGACTGGTCCCAGGTGTATGTGACACTACCATTCTGTTGGTCAGGGAATGCTTCATCTAAACTAAGCTCCTTGCCCAAGAAAGGGCTTCCTTTAGTGTGGCCATCAGGCACATGAGAGTTCTTTCCCTTCATCACAGCATTGCTGTCCATATCTGGGAAGTACGGTTGATGCCGACAAGAAGGGTCTTTAGGTTCTGGGGAAGGGAATGGGCTGCAACTGCCACCCTCACTGTTTTCCCTAAGGGTCTCTTGATGGTCCCCAGTGACCTGCACCCAGCTTCGCTGGGCTTTTTTTAGCTTGCAAACTTTGCTTTTTGTTCTGAAGTGCTGGGATCTGAGAATCCTGTACCGAAATCTAATCATGGATAATTTCTCATACATCATAAGAGGAGATACTTTTATTCTTCTATGTTGGTTAAGTTGAAACTTTTTTGGAATCAGGGGTCCCCCATTCCTGTGGTGCTCCAGCCCTTGGTAGCAGCCATAACAAAAGCGCTTTCTCTTATGGTTGCTCAAGGTGACCACAATTGTGCCACTCTCACCTGGACTTTGGCTCTCCCCATTGAACTTCATGGGAAAGTCAGAAGCTTGTGGCTCCGTCCTAGGTCTGTGACCACTGACCTGACCTAAAACACTATTTGCTGGTAAGTCAGCAACCGCCTTCAAGAGACTTTTATCTCCACAGTATTCATGGTCAGAGTTCTTTGTTGATGATAGCAGCCTCTCTGCTTGGAGTTTCAGGAGGGTCCTTGAGGAGGAAATGAAGTGTTTAGAGTCTTTTCTTTTCACTTTAGAGGGCAAAGTACTAACATTCTGAGAAGCCACACTGGACTTTGCCTTAGCAAAAAAAGGTGCATCCTGGATCCATGTCTTCTGGATTTGAAGGGCCTTCTTTCTGCACTGGAAATGCCTCAGCTGCCTGCTCCAAATAATTGGCCTTCCCAATTTGGCTTTCAGAATGCACAAGTGTTGGTGAAAGCAGAACTTCTTAAAGCCTCCAAATCCAGTATTCCATTTCTCAGAAAAGGCTAAATGGATTCCTTTCCTCCATAAAATTTTCTTCTGTTTTTTCATTTTTCTGATGCATAATGAGATCTTGATGCAGCTGTGAAGAGAAAGAAGAGTTACACATTTACCCTAAAAATGTCATTAAGATATAATCACAGCATTAGAAGTTAGAAAACTCTTAGGGGCAAAAAAAAGCCTATGAAGTGCAATTTAGACTATCAGACATAACGAAATCCTTACCTGATTAAGGTTTTCCCCACAGTGAAAACTGGAAGACATGAATACTCTCACATGACCCCATTTGGTATAGCTGACTCTGACAGAAATGTCAAGATCATTTCCCAAAATGCAGTCAATTTCTGATGGAGTAAACAGGGTAGGGAGTCAGAAGAAAATCGGTCAGTGTTGACACTGCTTCTTGTTAGGTAAGTGACTTTAAGTCAGTCACCCAAATTCTGTGTTCTCATTTGTAAAATGAAGGATGGGGAAGGAGGGGGACCACATACCATTTAAAACTGATTCCATATAAAAAGAGTGTGTTCTAGGGGTGCCTGAGTGGCTCAGTCGGTTAAGGGTCCGACTTCAGCTCAGGTCATGATCTCACAAGGTCAGGAGTTCGAGCCCCGCATCAAGCTCTGGGCTGACAGCTCAGAGCCTGGAACCCACTTCGGATTCTGTGTCTCCCTCTGTCTGCCCCTCCACTGTTTGCACTCTGTCTCTTGCATTGTCTCAAAAGTAAATAAACATTAAAAGATTTTTTTTTTAAAGAGTGTGTTCTATACATCAAATTTTAGAAAGGAAGGGCGATACTTTTGCTGGGTATAGACATCTAGAGGCAGACAATGCAAGTAACATCAGTACCTCAAGAGGGAAACCAGCTTCCTCTTTGTCAGTCAGTCAAAAACTTTGAGTGACTATGCAGGGATATGAGCCCATCAGGTGCTCTCACACAGTTAGGGTTCTGATTCTCAAGTGAATCTAAGTAAAAAAGCACACGCACACACACGCATATATGAAGTTCAGGGACACACTTATTAGGAATGATAGATGAAAATGATAGTCAAAAACCAAACAGGATCCCTCCTCAGATTTAATAAGATCTAGCACTACTGAAGGCTCTTCAGTGCAGAATGAAAGGTGTCGGCTGTTGTGGGTGGTGGGGCAGAAGAAATAATAGACTATGAATCAAAAAACTAATAATCTAATTTCAGCTTGCTATTAGCTTATTAAGAAAAGTTGTATTACTTTTTTGTGCATCAGTTTTCTCTGGGAAAAAAAAAAAAAGGACTGAGCACATGTTTACCTCAGTTCCCTCTCCAAATCCCATTAAGATGACAGAAATGGGTTTTAAGAAGGGAAAACTCTCACGGACAAAGAAAATTAAAAAGCAGACAAGAAAGGGCGCCTGGGTGGCTCAGTCGGTTGAGTGTCCAGCTTCGGCTCAGGTCATGATCTCACGGTTGGTGAGTTTGAGCCCCACGTCGGGCTCTGTGCGGACAGCTCAGAGCCTGCCACGGGGCTCGAACTCACGGACCGCGAGATCGTGACCTGGCTGAAATCGGACGCTTAACCGACTGCGCCACCCAAGCGCCCCACAAGAATACAATTTTGAAAGAAGAAAGCACATAACTGAGTGATGAGCAGGCCAAAAGAATGAAAATCTAAGCCAGCAGCAGGGGAAGACCAGAAGCAAGTTACAGGACCTCAGAAAGGCTCAGGAATAGAAGCAACAATACCTATGAAGGTCAAGAGAAGGGAGTTCAAGGGGTACCTGGCTAGCTCAGCTGGTAGAGCCTGCAACTCTTGATCTCAGGGTTGAGTTCAAGCTCACGTTTGGTGTACAGATTACTTAAAAATAAAATCTTTAAGGGGCACTGGGTGGCTCAGTCAGTTAAGCATCTGACTTCAGCTCAGTCACGATCTCACTATTTGTGAGTTCAAGCCCCATATGAGGCTCTGTACTGACAGCTCAGAGCCTGGAGCCTGCTTTGGATTCTGTGTCTCCCTCCCTCTGTGCCCCTCCC